CGAGCTACTGCAGCGTCGTGCGAGTTCCCTGGAGCATTTAGACTGCAGAAGATGAGGCATCTATCTGGAGAAAAGGCCATGACAGTCGAGCAGTAGCGACTGCACGGCCATACGTTGTAGTATGCGTTCTCAACGTCACCATCGCTTGAGGTAGCCAACGGAATATTGAGTCCATCCACAAAACAAAATCCGTTTTGGATGAGCGGATGTCGAATTGATCATCTCTGCGTAATCAATGAAGCTGACTTCGTTATTTGGCCAGCGAATGCTTGCTTCTTGGCAAGAACTTCGTCAAGAATCTGTAGAGAAAATGTTAAATAGCGGCTGCACACCGACGGAGTCACCACAAAAATTTCTTAGAGTGAATGCTCGGGCATCGACGAGCAGAGATAGTGTAGCATAAGTGATAGCGCCGCTGCAGGGGAAAGCGATCGTCGGTCCAGCCTGGGATCACCCACGTCGTTGACGTCTGACATTGGTACTGGAGTGGCGTTCCATCTATTCACACCAGCAATATTAGTCAGAACCTCAGCAATACTGATGTCGTTACTGAGGAAACCCCGGTTCGAATCTCTCCAGAATATAGTTAAACGTTTGCGCGTCAAACCCAGTAGTTTTAATGAAGGCTTTACCATTTCGAGCAAGCGGTTCCAATTCGTGGGTGAGGGTGGAGATCACCCCTAGTGAGATAGTTGGGCCCGCGTTGTCGCTTCTTCTTTCGTTCCCTGCCTTCCACAGCGAGAGCCAGCACAAGTAGGAGCACGGAGCTTTCATTGCCGTCGTCGGTGGCCATGGTGCTGTGAGTGCGGAAGTCAGAGTGAATTTATGTCTCAGAGGTGGAGTCACTTTCCTAAATTCTGGGGTGGATTCCCAGATTTAGGTCTGTGACAGCAATCTGAAGTAGCACACCAGTCATTTCTTCGGCAGTGAAGGATGAAAGCAACATATACTGTAAATACCATGATGGTATTGTCATTGCAAATGTCCACTAGCTATAAAGGTTCCCCGTTAAAATAAATCTGCTTTTTCATACCATACAAGTACAGAAGAGGCTGAAACATAAACCAAAAGAAAAACCAAGTCTTAGCTGGCACACCTTCATTGCTTTACTGTAGTACTCAAGGCAGAAGACATTGGCAACAATCAGGCAGTCTATCGCTTTTATTCAGGTATTAAACTACAGGGGTTTATATCTACATGAACTGAGTGGCTGGGTACTGGAGATGTTTAGATTACTGGAAGAATGGCTGACCGCCCGTTAACATTTAGTTTTTCATGGATTCGTGCTGTAAAATAGGTAGCTGTTATTATAGAATCATTTTTGTTCAATCCTCATCTCCAAAAAAATGTTCTGCCATCTATGTGCAGACGACTTTCTTTGATTAGTGCTTGTCACCAATGTCGGACGTTGCAGACGCTACGTATGTGCACTGTATCATTGAGATCCCGACTCGCCACTCCCAATTCCCTCGTTCGAATGTTGAGACAGCAAATATTTGCCATCATAAGCATCGTTTGTGCCCAGGTACTTCAGTACACGG